AGAAAGTATTTACAAAGAACAATTAAAACAATGTACATAGAAAGGAAATGAGACTAAATTTTAGAGTCCAGAATGACCAGCACATCAGAAAACTGGTAGAATGTAGAATGTACAGCTACAAAGGTAAAATAAGAGCAGGTTATAAAGCAGGATCAGCAAGGTATGGCCAGACTTCAAATCCAACCTGCCACCTTTTTCTATGAACTTTTGCTAGAACACGGCCACAGCTACCTGTAAGCTCAGCTCCAGAACTACATGGTATCACTAAGCAGCTACTGCAGACAGCATGACCCAGAAAGCCAAAAACACCTATTACCTGGCTGTTAACAGAAACATTTTTCTGATCTCTATTGAAAAAACCCCAGAATTATATATGAAGAGCTTGGATAACTTCTACAAGCAATAAACTATTATCTTAATAAGCTGTGAAAGCCAGACTCCAGAAAGAAACTCCAAAGCAAATATGAAAAGGAGCAGCCATTCACAACCCTAAGAAAATATTTTAGAAACTAACATTCATCCATTCCCATGAAACTATATGGTTGTGCTATAAGTAATATATACCACATGACTAATTTCAAATATTATGTCTGGTAACTTCCCAAGTATTTATCTCACATTTTTAAACATGTGAGTAAGTCGTTCATTAATACTTAAATACTTACCTTCGAAGTCTTTTCTTCTGGCATATCATCCAACATTTGTTTCTTAAATTTATATTGTTGATAATTAGGTTTAAATGCCTGTATTGAGCTGCTTTTCTTTTGGCCTTCTGTCTTATACTCAGGTATTTTTGATGAATGTGTTTGTCTCAGCACCTCAGTTTCTCTGTGATGAGTTAAGTTATGAGGTTCAGCTATTAATTGTTTTTGCTGTTGAGCTCCTAAATTCACTGGAAAAGAATATATTCCAGCATTTTCCACGAGGTTTGTTCTGTTGCGTTGAGGTCGAAAATCATTTTTATCCCAAGTTTTTACACTGGTATTTTTGTTGTCATCTCTACAGCTACAATAGTAAAACAAAATTTTCATCGTACATTTTAAAATTTAAAATAATTGATGAAATTTTTGGTTCTGTGGCAATTTAAGGTATATTAACTATTTTGTAACTACTAACTAGTTAAAAAACCAAAACACATCAATAACCAATGTATTATTTACCTCTGCCCAGGTGAGGTGATGGAGTTTTAATGAGGAAATAATTTGGCCATGTTCCTGGCAGATTCAAGGCCCAGAGAAAACTAACCTCCCAACTCAGACAAAGTATAGTAAGTCTCCAATTTAAGAATGATTTTTGCTCCAGAATGT